TACATACATATATTTTACAGGTTAGACCAAAAGTGACATCGGTTAGAGAATTTTTATACTCTTCAGCAGCATTACATCACTGGTATCCGAAGCCGGTACTTTTCGATCAAAAAGCGAGCCTATAGGTCGTTCAGCCACTGGTACTTAATATAATTTAATTCACATTAAATTGCATTCGTGATGTAAAAAGCGCCGTTTAAAAGCCTTAATTTCTCCATAAAATCTTCGAAAACTATTTACACTTTTGATTGGCTCACTTACTTTCGCATATATGAGCAGAGAAAATAAATAAGCATGGATCATAGAGATGAAAACAATTCATTCTGTTCTTTTTTTCGAAAAATATTTCTCATAATTTAAACTTTTTATACACTGGGAAAATGTCTTTCTTTACAAATATTAATCATAGGAAATGAAACAATTTCAAAAAATATATGTGAGAATAGAAACTGACATCCACCTGTTTGTATTTCCTGTTCATTGAAGTCTTAAACCAAATTCGTTTCAATGTTTCCTTTTTCTTTCTTTCATTCTTTAGTTCATTGATTTTACTTTCTTATCTGTCTGTCTGTTTGTTTGTTTTTGTTCGTATGTATGTGCATCGGTATAAATGTGTGCGTGTGTGTGTGTGTGATTAGACTGTGAATCAGTATGAATCAGTTCAACTAAAGTCGTCTGTCTATCTGTCATTGCAGCATTATAACAATCCTAGTAGAGGTATTTCAGGTTGACTGGAGAGTAGGAGATAATTCCAAATTTAGAGAAAAAATCTATTCTCCATTCTTCTACTTACAGCTTATTCATTCATTTTTCAGAATGAATTGCTTGTGTAATGTAAACAACTTTAATTTTGATAATGTGAAACAACGACTGTGGCTTTACTAATAAAATTTCATCGGTGGCTCAGTGGTAGAATGCTTACCAACCAAGCATGTCATCCGAGTTTACTTCCCCGTCGATACACTTCTGAAAGCAACCACTGACTACTAACCAGTAGTAATTACAGAGAAGAGACAATGTTTAGTGTGATTCTGGCAACTTCATCCCGTAAAATGGATACTATCGATAGTGCAACTCCAACGTATGAAGCCGTATCTTCCACTAGGAATGCAAGGGATGAAAAAGTTATGACAATTCAAAATATTAAGAACACAATTTTCAGCGAAGAGACTCTTTTCAACGAATTTATTATCAAGCTGTACAATCGTATATATATGGTTTTATAAAGAAATTATATCCGGTGAGGGAATTAGGTCAAAGGTGTAAATACATGAAATAATAATAGTATGAAATAAATTTAAAATATTTGTGATTAGGTTCATAGGTTCACACACTTAATCATATTGATGCAATCAGTTCTCGTGTGGTAGAATTAAACAGGAACATAACTCTGAGAAGTCATGTTCTGTTTGAACTTTCGACTGATGAACGCCGGCAATTCGAGGAATACGTTTCTTGTGTCATTGAAAAACAGTCCCAGTCTGCTAACCTCAAGCATCTTGACAGTCTCAAGCAGGTATTAGCAGAAAAGCGATTCCCGACTGACCCCAATAAGTATGTATTTAATTATTCCTCCGTCACTCTTTCTGAAATTCAACTACAAGCCCTATCACTGGGCCCCAAATTCTGCAACAGTTCATCCAAAGTCAACAGACTGCATACTCAAGTGCAATTCGAAAATCTTATTAATCAGACCAACGATCTTACACCCACATCACCTGAGGAATTCCAATACTTTAAATCCACAGTTCTTGATTGCTGTCATCAGTATACTAGTTCAAAACCTAGCTCGAATAATCTTCTGACTAAAGAGCATATAGACCAACTGAAAGAGCTAGAGAAGAATGATGATATTATCATATGCCGTCCAGACAAAGGTGGGGGTGTCGTAGTTATGAATCGCCAAGATTATAATGATAAAATCTCAGCGATCCTTTCTGACCAAACGAAATTCGCCAAACCCGACGGTGAAAAGAACAAGACACATTTAATTGAAAATCAACTGACTGATGTCTTAAAGAATATGAGGAATAAGTCAGCAATATCGTCAGAAATATACGAACGCATCAGACCAGTAGGCTCCATTATACCACGTTTGTATGGACTACCTAAAATACATAAGACAGGATTACCCCTCCGTCCAATCCTCGATATGGCGGGCTCTCCTTATCACGGAATCGCCCAATGGCTAGCCGAAATATTGGAACCAGTCAGAAGGCAAGTATCTAAGTTTTCCATTGATGATACGTTTAAATTTATTGATAGTATTAAAGATTTTAATGTCTCAGAAAAAGTCCTGTTCTCATTAGATGTCACGTCGCTATTTACCAATGTTCCTCTCATGGAAACTGTTAGCTATTTATGTGAGTATATTGATACACATGGTTTGGAAATAGGTTTACCGACAATCCACCTCAAAGAACTTTTATTGAGATGCACGTTGAATGTTCAGTTCACCTTCAACAATGAGATCTATAGACAGAGAGATGGCATTGCCATGGGATCACCACTGGGTCCTTTGTTAGCTGATTGTTTTATGGCAAAGCTGGAAAATTCTCAACTTAGTCAAACCATCGGGCATTTTGACATTTATAAAAGATACGTAGACGACACTTTCGTCATCTGCGATAAGAACGTAGTTCTTGATGATGTCTTGTTCGCCTTCAACAACTGCCATCCTTCTTTACAATTCACCATAGAAAAGGAATCGGAACTAAGTATTCCGTTTCTTGATGTGTGCCTTAGCAGACGGAATGACGGATCTCTCAAGAGATCGATCCACCGGAAACGTACATGGAACGGACAACTAACTAATTTTTACAGTTGGGTGCCTATTTCCAGGAAAAGGAATTTAATCCATTCACTCTGCTTTAGGATAAGGAAAATTTGTAGTTCTGATTGCGTCGACTCAGAACTTGACTTCCTGAAAGCCACACTCGCAGAAAACGGTTACCCTAACCGATTTATTGACAGAAACATGAAAGAGAAGCAGTCTAAACTGGTCACTGACTCAGTTCCAAAGAAAACCCTATTCGTGAACTTGGAATTCAAAGGAGATCAAGCTTCTGATATGCTCAAAAATCGTCTTTCTAAATCAGTTAGTAAAACGTTCCCTGCAGCTAGATTACATATGACGTTCACGAGCCGCAAACTGTTCTCTACCTCTGTAAAAGATAAGCTCCCCCGTCTGACCGCCTCCATGTGCATCTACCAGTTCACCTGCTCTTGTGGAGCAAGGTACATTGGCCGTAGTCAGAGAATGCTCTCCACACGGATACGAGAACATATTCCAGCTTGGTTTTACAAAGGAGAAAGGAAATGTGTGCGAAGCTCTATCTTAGAACACCTCATCGACTCCTGTCACTCGGTCAACCCTGACCATGATTTCAAGGTCATATACAGAATTCATGCCAACTTCCCGCGTTTTCTTCGTTACAGACTTCTAAAGACAGCTGAGGCCTTGGCAATTCATGACTTTAAGCCAGACCTTTGTGTACAAAAGAAGTATGTACAATCCCTACTGCTGCCTTGGCCGTAGAGGGATAGACATTTATTTATTTTATTATTCTATGTACTTTTCCCTTATTACTTCGATTATTATTATTATTATCATTATTATTATTATTACGACTCTCATTCTGAATCTTTTCCACTTGATCTACTTGACATTTTAAACCAAAAATTATTCATGTGTATACTTTTTATCTTTATTTTTACAATATTAAATTCTATGTTATCAAATTTCACACCATATTACGTAACATTTTACATTCGTCTATTAATCTTACAATTATATGCCTCTCCCCAAAATCTATACACCTGATGTATTATCTTATATATGACATTAATTATTGTTCCACTTGACTTAAACTATGAACCTAATCACAAATATTTTAAATTTATTTCATACTATTATTATTTCATGTATTTACACCTTTGACCTAATTCCCTCACCGGATATAATTTCTTTATAAAACCATATATATACGATTGTACAGCTTGATAATAAATTCGTTGAAAAGAGTCTCTTCGCTGAAAATTGTGTTCTTAATGCTACAATGGGAATTATTAAATTAATTCAAAATATGTCTGGTATTTGAATAAATATAAGCAATTTCGATTTTATTTTGTGCATACTGACTAACAATAGAACCCAGGAGGCGCTTTTCGTCCTATCTGGGTCTCGTCGTCTGGATGTTGCATCACTAACTGGTGGTTGCAGCCACATCCAGCTGACTTATTTATTTATTTATCAGGTGCTGCGCATGCCTAACCATATTGGTGCAGGTTGGAAAAGAGTGAGTGGTGGCCAAACAAAAACATGTCACCAACCCATGAAATCCTTGACAGTTAAACTGAGTCAGGTAGGGAGATGCAGACTCCCGGGTTGGGGCCCTCGGGACTGACTCTAGGAATCAATGGCTGGAGACAATAGGTGACATGGCTCAAAATCGTTGTCTATGGCCAGCGCAGATATATTCAGTCTCTGTAATCTTTCATAGTCCTTTCTACCATTACCCATTCTGTTTCACTCTTATACCTGTCAAACTCTATTGATTCCCTGTTGAATCCAGACAGACAGACATTGATTCCCTGCACTCATCTTTTTGTCTACCTTTGTGTGGTATTTGGAACGTGGCAACTCGAACTGGTGCACTTCGGTGCCAAGTTCTATGTTGAATCTAGACAGACAGACAGACATTATGTAGGGACAGTTATTCACATGATCTCAGTATTATACATCTTGTCATTCGCCAGTTGTAGACTGTGTGCTAAGTGCTCAGATGATAAAAACAACTTATTCTTGTCTATTTCTCCCAGTATGCACTTGTCGTTTTATCAACACTAAAAAGCTTTTTTCACTTTGAGCTGACTTTATTCTATGTTATTCCTGTGTCTTAATTTGTTTTAGGTGAAGTTACCCAATATTTGAGCTTGATAGTATTATTCATTGTATTTTATGTACACGTATAACTTATTTTTGCTTATGTGTAGTGCTCATGAAGGAACCTGTTCTGCCTGATAGTTTGACTGAACATGCAGAATTCTGTCGTTATGCTACCATGCTTATACGCTTGGTTGTTGGAACTCTATCAGATGGTGTATTGTCCGGTGATATGTCATTGGAACGTGTTCGTAGAGCGGAGATTGTTGCTAAAACAAGGATTCAATGGGATCAAGAAGAATTATTAGAATTGATATATTGTCATTTACAAAGCAAAGGTGATTATATATACATATACATATAGTCTATGTCTATTCGCACACTTTATTCTATAGTATTTTCGGTTTTGTTTATTCTGATTTTGTCGCTTCATTGAAGATGTTTTATAAAAAACTTCTTGAGGCTTTTATAAAATGTCCCAATTCGTAGACCTAGATTATGTTGTGACAGAATCTTAAGTTGATTTGTGAAGTAGCTGGACATTATAATTACACTAATTGAAAAGATATGCAACGTTCGAACTGGTCTGTGTCTATACCGTGTTTGATAGTACCTTGAGTTTTTCCGATCACCTTATATTTAGTTAGAAGTGTTTTGTTTTGCAGATATTCTCAAATGTAATACCTATTACGTGACTGTTAAAGTTACATCTTAGAGGACATCTTAGACATTTATTTATTTAAACGCATATGGCACCAAGAAGGATGCGCCACACAATAATAATAAAACAACATAGATCAAAAGAAAAAAGGAAGGAAAAGAAAAAAATATATAAGTAGTGAACGGATAAAGAACTTCATCTGGAAGGAAAACAGTCATGCTTAACAAGTTCAAACAGTGTTCGTTAACTATCATCGGGAAGGGAAGAAAGAAGGAAATTGCAACACATTCGCCATTGATTACGATTCTTGGCCATATCCGATAACGTTTCGAGCCATCGATTTGAGCTATCTCTCGGACCCCAACCAGGGATTCGTGACACACCAACCGATGCTAATATAGCACAAAAATCCTTCATCCCACGACGCCACGTCATGGACTGACCACCTCTCCACCTTTTCCATCCCGTTCCAGGGTTAGCGAACACAGACCTGTACGGGAGCCTCTGGGATGACATTCGCAGCTTATGTCCAAGCCACCGGAGCCGATGTTTGCAGATGACGACACTCAATGAATGGTGATCTCCACTGTGTTCAAACACACGCCACCGAACCTCATAATTACTCACGCGATGATGCCACCAAACGCAAGCAATCCTGCGAAGACAGCGATGATCGAACACGCAGAGTCGCCGCACATCCTCAACTCGGAGAGTCAAGATTTCACAGGTGTAGAGCAGCGCAGCCCGCATCGAAGCATTGTATACCCGACCTTTGACAGCCAGGCTAACGTCGCGACGGCACCAGAGGTGGCTCAAGTTGATGTATGCCACCCTAGCCTTCATTACACGGTTGGAAATCTCATCCGTCACCCCTCCGCCAGCACTCACACAACTACCCAGGTACACAAACTTATCAACAACTTCAAGCGGTTCACCCACAAGAGTGAGTGCAGGTACAGGCTCCTGCCAATCTTGTAACAGTACTTTGCACTTAGACGGCGCAAAGCACATACCATACTTACAGACACTGATCGCCAACTGATTAAGTGCGATTTGGGCAGCCTGCATGCTATCGCACAGTAAGACGATATCGTCTGCATACTCGAGGTCGAAAAGTCTATCTCCAGGTAGCAGATCTACACCACCTTCACGCACATCCTTCAGAGCTGACTCCAGAATGTCATCGATGGCAAAGTTAAAGAAAAATGGAGAGATTGGGCAACCCTGTCTAACCCCACTGTTGGTTGGGAACAGTGGTGATAGTTGGTTGTATGCCCTGACTCTACTGAGGTGTTTCTGTATAGGGCTTTCAGGATGTTAACAAATTTCTCAGGTACACCTCTCTCTAACAGACAGTTCCAGAGCACAGTTCTGTCCAACGAATCGAAGGCAGCCCTAATATCAAGAAACACAACGATCGTTGGCCTGCAACACGTGTGGCGGTGTTCCAACAACTGACAAAGGTTGAACACCTGATCACATCAACGCTTAGACTACGGCTTTTACCAACCCCACCAAATCGCAAGACGAACTTGGCACACACTAACGCATGATCGGAGTCCAGGCATGTGCTCCAGAAGGAGCGACAGTCTTGTGTGCATCCCCGCCACCGGAAACTGACTGCGATATGATCAATCTGAGTCCAAGCTTGCTTCGCAGAGGGAGGACGCCAGGTAGAGCTACGGCGATGGCTGTGCCGGAAGTTGGTGCTAGCTAGAAATAGGTTGTATTCCGCGCAAAGCTGCAGAAGACGGTTTCCATTATCTGACCTGCGACCATGTAGTCTCCACTGACCACCCAGACGATTCTCCTCTGAGCTTAGACGCCCCACCTGTGCATTCAAGTCCCCAGCCAGCACCACGATATCCCTCCGACCCGCCTGTTTCAAGAGATCGCTCAGTTGGTAGTAAAACTCATCCTTCATTGCATCCGGGCTGCAATCCGTCGGTGCATAGGCAGAGACAACAAATAGACACCGCCTATCTGGCCTACTACTCTTTACTTTCGTGTAACCTTCCAGCCTCACAGCACATAAACGACTGTTAATGGGAATCCAGTCGAGCAGTGCAGCTTCGGCTCTAGCGCTCAGTGCGACACCGACATCAGCTACGCCGGATGCCGACGTCACAGGGTCCCCGGATAAGCGCAGGTGGTACATACTACTAGAACTTCCAGATGGAGAGGATAGTCGAAGCACTTCACTGGGATCTTGAATGCGGGTCTCCGAAATGCAGCAGACATCGATAGCGAGGCTTTCCAAAGTTCTTGCCAACCCTGCCTGTTGTCCGATTTGCATCAGCGTCCGAACATTGTAGGTAGCCAGCTTGAACGCAGCACGCTGTTTCAGGATATCCGTGTTAGATGTCATATTGGGAACAACCATTTTGAGGACTACTCACTAACATCTCGAAACGACACAGATAGGCTGGGAAGCTCGACAAAGGCGAAAGGCTGTCGAAGGTTAAGAATCCAAGGTTAGAAAAGGTACAATACAGGAAACTATGTATAAAAATAAAAGTAGGGTAAGAAGGGAATAAGTTCCTTGAGGGATCAATATTGCTTGGAATCATTTTAACTAGCGCGTTGAGTTTCAATGGGAGTTCGTTGCTTTAATTCATTCATTGTGTGCGGGCTGAGATACTGCCCGGGCGCCCAGACCGAAGCAGGTGGCTTTATTAAGGGACCACCCCCGAGCCTTTGACTTGGAGTCTAATCCGCAGGGCAGCGGAGCAGCGTCAGGAGCTGCATTCCCATGGTTGCCGGTGACCCATGTGGGTTCATACGCCGTTTGATCCGATTGGATACTGGAGCCCATGTACCCCATGGTAACTGCTTTTAGTTTAACCGCTATCCAGAAAACCTTCCTGACATGGTAGGACCTGTGGAGACAGGGTCCCAGTCAGTTCAGCTTGTTGGATCATTGCGGTATTCAAGCCCGACCACCACGACAAGGTAGCAGTTATCGGCCGGGTCCAGCTGACTAGTCCTAAAAAGGATAAAATTAGCATCTTGGATTTCACTGCTAGTCACCATTCACCAAATAACATCAATGGTAATCCTCATACACCCCTGTAGCGTCCGTACTAGCAGCTAATCTGTCAAAAGAATCCAAACATTTCGTGTTAATCAGTCAGTCGATGGGTAAAACAAAAATTGATTTAAAGAATATGAACAATTTTGCACAGTTATTTTAATTTTAATGGGAGGCGATTTGGAGGAATGGTTGACATGACGTGATGTTTACTGTCACCTCCATGCTTATCAGTAGTTATCAGCAACGGGATAATTGTTTCCTTGCGACAAAATAAAAAACACACTTTCATTGATATCATTACTGAGCGATATATATTTCTTTTAAATAATTAGATATTGGAAGCTGAAGATAGAAATCAGTGATAAATATGACAATTTTTAGCGTGGTCAGTTGATAGATTTAGCCTATGAACAGTCAATGTTTGCTTATTTCATGTCCATAAGAAGTGGTATTCTCAGTAGACTTTGTTTTTTTGATAAAACAAATCCTTAATTCTTTTGGGAGCATTGATAAGTTGAATACAGACTGGAAGATTTCGAATAGAATTATAGTATCATTCATATGATACAACAAGGATATCTTATGTGTTTCTATGTGATGAATAAAAAGACAGTAATGTGAAGATCTTCGTGAAACTTCTTGGCCGAGTCTTGTACCATATGCTTATAGATCTCGCTTATAATCTGGTGTCTTTTATGATAATGATTACGGCAAAAAAGATTTATACATTTAGATTCTGCCATGAAATACTGTCAGTTAGAAAAGTATTGAAAATGATCAGTTACTGGACGGCTACTTCGTTCTAGCCCATGAATAAATCAACATGCACTCATATCTGAGCCATCAGCCCCTCGTTACGCTAAAAAGCATTATTATTTGGCCACCGACCCAGAATTCACTGTCTTATGGAGTAAGTTCTGTCAATTTATGGTGTAGAGCCACAGACGGTCGGTTTCACTGGCGAGTATCTGTTCTCACGGATAAATCGGTTTGTCTCATAAGACAGACATTCTCATAAGAACTTCAGTTATCCAACTTGTATTATGCCACTAACCAGCGATGGGTTAATTTTCATTGTTTGACATTTGAATGATGTCAGATATTAGTAGATGAGGAATTTTGATGTGCTCTCCTGAAGAAAGCATCGAATTCTTTGTTTAGAGCTTAAAATGTGGTTAATATATACTAGTCAAGGGTCTATATAATCCAAAGTTACCGTACTACTTAATAGTGTGTATGATATAATCGCGAGTCTAACGATACAGCTATACTATGTCGAACGGTTATGTGTTGTGAAATTGTTGAAAACACTTGGAGTTTGCATCTAATTTCTCACACACACATGCATACATCAGTATAAACTTCAAGAGGTTTCTTTGTATGCACTGAGTGAAATCATTCTACACATTGATATTCTCATGTGTGAAATACATATGAAGCGGACACTCAGCCGAATTGTTTCTCATTTGATAACAGCTTTCACCTTAACAAGGCCTAAACCTTACTTCAATTTCCTCGTTGATTATCTCTCTTATATCTACCATCCGCTTCTGGGTCAGCATATTACTTCTGTTACTTCTCAAAATCATTCAGTAGGAGACTCACATGTATTGCGGTAAATATAAAAACAATCGTGTAAAATTTAAAAATGACTCTGCTTATAAAATAA